TTTTTTTTTTTTTTTTTTGGCACCTCACTATGCACCTCACTATGAATCTGATGAAAGTGCCTTTCTAGATTCCTCCCTCCTCCCTATTGCAGATCCAAGGCTAGCCTGAAGGAGACCCGGAGGCACCCGCTGATTAAGGACTTAGGTGGAGTGCCAGGGCTTGCACGTACAGGTGAGTCAGTTGTGCATGGCACAAAGGCTCGCTTTTAAGGAAGCATCATTTCTTTCCTTCTTTTTTTTCTTTTTTTGAGACGAATCTCGCTCTGTCACCCAGGTTGGAGTGCAATGGCGCGATCTCAGCTCACTGCAACCTCTACCTCCCAGGTTCAAGCGATTCTCTTGCCTCAGCCTCCCGAGTAGCTGAGATTGGAAGCACGCGCCACCACATCCAGCTAATTTTTGTATTTTTAGTACAGACAGGGTTTCACCATGTTGGTCAGGCTGGTCCCAGCCTCCCAGAGTGCTGGGATTACAGGCGTGAGCCACTGGGCCCCGCCAGGAAGCATCATTTCTGTGCTAGATATCAGACACTTCATTCCAGGCAGTGCAACTTTTTCAAACAAACTCAGCATATTGCTGCACTTTTTCTGACATAAACAAGTAAAATATTTTGAAAGTGTAATACCTTTTTCTAACTGGACCAGAAACATTCTAGTTAATTTTGGCTACGATGCTGGCTTGGGAAGAAAAATAGTTCTGGCCAGGGGCAGTGGCTCAGGCCTGTAATCTCAGCACTTTGGGAGGCCGAAGTGGGAGGATAACTTGAGCCCAGGAGTTTGAGACCAGCCTGGGCAACACAGTGAGACCCAAGTCTCTATTTAAAAAGAAAATAGAGAAAAGAATAATAATCATCAGTTCAAACTGGTCCCCCTCAGAGAGTCTGTCCAACCTAGCCGCAGCAATTATCAGGCAGGTACAAGTTTAGTGTGCCATCTCCCCAAGCTCAGTTGTCCCAGAGCAATTTGTGATGAGATTAGTTGTCTTTCTGCTTAGCACTGAGAGTGGCCCAGTCCCAGAGAACTAACTTTCTGCAGTGATGGAAATGTTCTGTGTCTCTACTTCTCGGTAGGGTAGCTGCCAGCCACAGGTGGCTCTTGAACACTTGAAACGTAACTAGTACAACTGAGGAACTGAATGTTATATTTTAATTTTAAATCAATTAAGGTTCAATAAAATTAATATTGCCACATGTGGCTAGTGGCTACAGGTCTGGAAAGCACAGTCCTAGAGAATTCAGAGCTGAGAACTCCAGCAGCAGGGTCTATTTCCAGATCCTGCCATCGAAATGGAAACAGGAAGTTGCCTTGGATCAAGAGGGGAACACACTGTAGCCAGGACAAGATAGGAAGACAATGGTAACAAGGCCTGGACATACTCAGCTTGAATTCCTGCCCACCCCTTCCCTCCCCCAGACAGACAGAAGAGTGTCTGGAATGCAGATGGGCTCATGGGTGCCCTGACTCACATGAAGAGGCCACCATGCTGACAACGATGGACGTTGAGGTGCTGGAGCTCTGCACGAAGACGGTCACCAGCACCCCGATCACCAGCCCCAACAAAGGGTTGGACATAATAGAGCTGTTGCTGAAGAACTGTCCTGCCATTTTTCCTAGGGAAAAAAAACAAAAAACAATCATAACGTGATCGAGGGGGATTAGGTAGGCAATGAGTAAACAGAAGCCTCCATCCAAGGCCAGCTGGCTGTGGGTTGGAGAGTCCAGCCTCCAGTCTCCATCCCGGCAGTCACCCAGGGAATCTTGCTTCCCCATGTCTCTTCCCAGTGCTGCTGATAAGGCAGGAAACTCACTGGCTGCCCACACGTGCCTCCTGTCTCTGTCTCTCTGCCCTGGTTCCCGACCCACTGTGAGCCCCCGGTTACTCTTGTTCCTTCGCCCTGCATCCTCCCACTCTTCAAACACTCCTCGGTCAGCAAGCCCTTCCATGCTCAGGAATACAGCCTCAACTTTGTACTGGGACCAGTGGGTGCCAGTGAGCCTCCTGGATGTCTCTGGGGTGTATACCTAATTCAGATTTATCCTCCAAGAGTAGATCTCTCTATCCATCCTTAGCCCTAGCACCAGCCTGTAATTGAATGCTGGGAGAGTTATCCTCAGGAGTGTGCCTGAGACCATCAATGCATTCCCAAGTCCATGGTATAAAGAAGATGGAAGCCCAGAGGATGCAGATGAATTGTCTGAGATAACCAGACAGCAAAGCCCATAGCCGATGTTCCCATGGACCAGGGAGCCCAGAAACAATGTTCAGGAGGCCGGGCGCAGTGGCTCACGCCTGTAATCCCAGCACTTTGGGAGGCCGAGGCGGGTAGATCAACTGAGGTCGGTAGTTGGAGACCAGCCTGACCAACACGGAGAAACCCCGTCTCTACTAAAAACACAAAAATTAGCCAGACATGGTGGTGCATGTCTGTAATCCCAGCTACTCAGGAGGCTGAGGCAGAAGAATCGCTTGAACCCGGGAGGCGGAGGTTGCGGTGAGCCAAGATCGCGCCATTGCACTCCAGCCTGGACAACAAGAATGAAACTCTGTCTCAAAAAAAAAAAAAAAAAAGAAGTTTTTGCCCCTCATGTTCTCCCATGAATGCCCACCTCCCCAACTCTCCCAAGCCACACAGATGGGTTCCCAAGAGAGGCACCAAGGGTTGCAGAAATCCATGGTCCTTTGTGACACCCAGATCTGAGACTGAATCTTACTCTGCTAATTACAGGCTGTGAGTCTCAGGTCTGGTTCATGATATCTCCGTAAATGGGAGAGCTTTGAGAAAGAATGTTTGATAGAGGGCCCCCAAAAATGCCTGCACCCAGTAGACACTCAGAGTGCTGCCTGTTTGTTTCTGATGTCACCATTGAGGTACCAAGGTAACCAAGCACAGGGTGACTTCCCTTCCGGGTTCTCACACTGCATGGGCACACGCAGCCCTGAGGGCTGTGTAGGTAACTACAATGGATGCAGATTCCTCCAGCCCAGAGAAGGGGCTCTGTCCTTCCCCCAGCAAGGGCCCACCTTTGAAAGGGCGCTCTTTCTCATTCCAGAATTCTCTCTGGTGGGGAGGATATAGGAATTCCTCAGCTAAGTCTTTATGTCAAACAACTTCCTGCCTGGGGTTTGTGGACAAACTCAACTGGCTGATAGCTTGGAATAGCCTCTAGCCCCAGTTCCTGGCCTAAGCCACCTGGGCCAAGTCATAGCCCTTTGTGTAGGCCTCGGTTTTCTCTTCTGTAACAGAAAGCATAGACTTCGTAAATGATCTGAGGTGGGTTCCAGTCCTAAAACACTCGAGGAGGCTGCAGCTGGAGAGGGCTTGCTGAGTTTTATTCTCGGAACCACATTTCATGATAACGCCCCTCACCCCCAGACCTTTCGGTCTTTCATTCTTACCTCCAACCAGCTGGAAGGCGCTACTAAGAACATCCAGGGAGCACACAAAAAAGTAGAGAAATCCAAGAAGTAAAATCAATCTCCCAATCCCTTGGAAGACACAGAGAATCTTCCCTCTGGTGTCTCTCTCTGCAGCGGGGTGGGGTGGCGGGAGAGAGAGAAAG